ACATTTGAAAACTATATAAATTTAAACCCACAAAATTATGATTAACATTCAGTAAGAAAGCTTTACACTATCAAAATTTTATATTCTAAATTGTTATATTCTGAAGTTCTCTAAATTAATCCCTTTTCCACTCTATTATGCTATATAGAATAAAAGCTTTCTTTAAAAAGAAAAATTACTTTAAAACTCCACCAAACATAAGCTATTTTAACCACTTTACTATTAAGTATTATAAAGATACGTATTGAGACAAAATAATGTAGTCTTTATTTTCAATTTGGGAAGCAGCTAATAATACCTTTGCTATTACTAAATTAAGCTAAACCCCAGAGAAAGTGTCTAAGGCAACTGGTGGAAACAAATATATTATTTTTCACCAAAACAATAATTTTGGTTTGTATCAAATTTATAATAAGTTATCAAATGTGAATTATAGTCTCAGAAACTTTGAAAGCAACCACTACTTAAAACTAAAGGTATCCCTGGTCAACAGAACTAGGCAGTTTCTTCCATAGTTCTATATGATATAGAAGAAAAAACAACAACTTTGTTTTAGGAAGTACAATTGTTAACAATTACATCCTAAAATGTTTAGAGACTTCTTTCAATCTAGTGAATTTTATTAGGTCTTCAGAAAAAGACTGAAATTTTAAGTCCAAGTTTTTTCTTTACACTTAAGGCCACTCTGGAACACACTGCCTTCAAAGATTTCCAAATCATCTTATGTTTGGTCCCACCATATTCACTTCATATTTTTCTTTCTTTTATGCATCTACCAAATGATTATATGAAAGGTCTGAAGTTGCTGCTCCAATCACAAAACAAAGCATTAATAATCCTCACTTTTAAAAAGTAGGTCACAGAACTGTCATGTATTGTTTTCCTTCATTAAAATATATTCTGAAGTCCCTATAAGGGGAGATACACAAGCCACATCTATAGTCAAATATTTTTTTTTAATTGAGAGGATGAATGCTTTTCAAAGGAGATGATTAACTCAAACCCCATCCTGAATGTCTACCACAAACAGAAATAGCAAAATAAGTAAAAACAAAAAAAGTCATTTTATAAAATGTATGTGTTTAACTCTTTAAAACAGAGTGGACATTTAGAGAGAGGCATTTACTTCAAAACACACACAATGGACACTTGGATCGTGGGGGTGGGAGCTTATCGTAAGTTTTGCCAGGGTTGTCTATCATTTCAGGTGGGCTAACATAAAGAATTATATTAAATGGGCTACTGTTGAAAATATTAGGGAAAAAAAGCTTAGAAATAAAACAATTAAACTAGTAATTTATCCCAAACACAAAGAAACTTGCATGCCATGTAGAATTGTACATTTATATGTAAATGACAACTAAGTAAATGGCATACAAACTCAAAATATTGTAATGTTTAAATTTCTCTCATATCTTTATTTTCTAAGATTACTTTTCCTAATCACTTTAAAAGAAAGTAGTCGCTGAAGTGGTAAAAACCACAAAATGTTTTCTTTAAATAAAATTATTCTTCGGAGGAGAAAGAGCATGTAGTTAATAAGCCTACTCTGCTATTTTTACCTGTTGTCTTATAATTCATAACAAAGTTACAAATGCATATGAAAACTTTATAGACAACAATATCATTAAAGTTTATAAGGGCCTGATAGACTCATGGTGATTCCTTATTTCCCAATTGAAATGTGTCAGGAAATATTACCAATTGTCATTCGTCTTGAAGCACTGCCCTAACTACTTAGTAACACCAACACTCTCGTAATAGCCTGAGCACTGAGGACTATTTTATTTCATAAAAGCGAACGCACCTACACTTCATCCCTACAACAGATACTCTGAGGCAAGGCAAAAGAGTTAAATCACTAAAAAGCTCTCTAGGAAAATCTAGAAACAGTTAGCTGGCTGTGACATAAACCTGCCAACACCTCAGCACACAGTGGCAAAGTGCCCAAAAAATGCCACCCTCTGGGTAAACCACTTTCTTGTTTTAACTCGAGATGAAGCTACCAGTTGCAGATGAGAGGCGACCGGGGCATTATTTGGCAACCTGGAATTCACTTCCTGTAATCCTACACCGCGACAGTGTCTAATCAACCTGAACCCTGACACCCGGGCCATTATCACTGGGCCGCGGGGCTGCGCGCGCCTCCCTGCTCCGGGCTGTTACCTCCCACGGCCTTGGCCACGGCGCCGTTGGGCCTCCCGCGGGCTCCCATGGGGCTGCCGTTCTGCTCCAGCCGGGCCACCTTCACCGGGGGAGGCCCCTTGACGTCTGGGCTGCCGCTCCGCCGGTCGGGGCTGTCCCGCAGACACGGGCTCTCGCTCCGCCGCTCCATGCTGCTCCGACTCGGAGACAAAGTTCCCACCGGCAGGTCGCAATAAAACGCGCAGGGACCTAGGGAGGGGGCGGGGGGGGAGGAAAGGGGGAGGGAAAAAAAGAGGGAAAACCGCTCACACACGTGATAGACGTTCAGGCCAGTGGCAGAGCGCGGCACCACAGCCATACAAACTTCCTCCCACGCTGCCCGAGGGGCCCGAGCCGGGACGCTGGTCCCAACCTTACACTGGGCGGCCCAAAGGAAGCCCAGAACTTGAGGTGTTACGACTCTGCCCAGTCGCTGCTCCCCAGAAGTTAGCCTTCCTCGGTGACGCGGCCAAGGTCGGCGCCCAGGGGCACCTAGAAGTGGCCCATTCATTGGGATAGGACTGGCATAAACTGTTCGCGGTACAACAGCCTCGCCGTCTGGGGGTCAGGGTTACAGAAGGCGTGAACTCAGAAAAAGACGTTCCACACACTTGGGAAGGGAGTTGGGAGTGTACACAAGTCCATAACCGAATTAACCACCTGATAAATGCGCTGTGAATGGCCGGGCAGGAGCCAAAGGCCGGGTAAAAGAACCCCTTGTATCCTCACTTTTTACCTTTACGGAGCAAGTCCTGAGACACATACACACTTTGCATAAAATCAATTCTAATTCCACATTAATAAGCATCCAGAAACACTTGGAGGTATTTATTAGAATAACCTCCATCACAAGGGCGGGTGCTACAATCGTTATTATGGAGCGTTCCTATCTTCATCCGATCCTGAGTGCTTTTTTAAAGCTCTTCAGCATAAAACACAAAAACAAAAAGCATTTAAACTCTAGATGCAGCCTTCGTCAATCCCAATTTTAAAATCGCTCCAGAAAGTTTTCCTCCGGGTGGCTTGGTTAGCAGCGCGCTCCTTACAGAAGCCGTGGGTCTCTGCGCCCCTAGATTTTGGGGGGCGGGGAAGGAGACGAAACACCTGATGAAACGGCGCTCGCATTGTTACTGACACCCGCGAGAAGCAGGACCCCGGCACAACTTAGTGCGCTGGGAATCCTCCAGGGCGCTCTCGCCGCGGGGAGAAGCCGTGTTGCCTTGGGTCAAGGAGACAAGGTGGGGGTGTCAGAGCGGAGGTGAAAGGAAGGATGCGAGAGACGCAGGGACGCAACGGAAGGGCTGCGTGCGAGGGTTTCGCCTGCATTCCCAGACTTCGCTGGCCCAGAGGGCGAGAACGGCAGGGAGGGAACTTAGCCGGCCCCGGGGCTTCCCCGAACTCCCGAGCGCGGCGCGGGAGCCCTCGCCTTGTGTACTTACTGCTCACGGTCTGTCTGAAACTTGGCTGGCTGGGGCTCTGTCCATGGAGCAAAAGTAGAGAATCCAGGGTGGAAAGTTTCTGGTGTTTTGCTTTGCAGTGTTGTCCTAGTCTTCTTCCTTTCTCTTTACTCCTTCCCCTTTCCTCTTTCCCAGGTCCTAACGTTTAAGGTCCTGGGTCAGGGTGTCTTCTTCTGGTGCGGAGATGGTTGTTATGATGATGATTGGGGGGGGGGAGGAGGGGGAGGAGGAGGAGAGGGAAAGGACTCCTCCAAAGGGACACCCGAGCGAGCGGGGGAGGGGACGGCGGAGGAGGGGGTAAGAGAGAAGGAGGCTGAAAGAGCCTTTTCACACCTTCGGGAAGGAGACCCGTTCTGGAGAGAAAGGGCTGAGAACCGGGAGGCAGCGGCGGCGGCGGCGGGCCGGGGCTGCCGGTTCGCTGGGCCGCTAGCTCGCGAGGAGGCGCAGCCAGAGCGGCGGGGCCGGTGCCACCAAGACCCCAGAAGGCGCAGGGACCTGGGACCGCGCGCGGGAGGAAACGCGGCGGCCGCCCAAGCTGTCACCTCCAGCCTCTCCCCTCTCGGCCGCCTCTGCCAACAGCCAGAGCCGGACTCACTGACAAGCCGCAGAGAGAGACACACTGAGAGGGAGATGATTATTAGTTGCGTTGAGTCATCAGGCAAAGTGAGTCCTTTTGGGTTGTCCTCGGTTTCCGATTTCTCCCCCTCCCCCTTTCCGTCCCCAGATCTAGCGCCTTCAAAATAATAATTTGGGGTGGGGGTAGGGGAAGTCTTGGGTTATTTCGGGATGGGGGTGGGGGGGACGGATCCAAACCCAAGCCAGACTGGTCCACCGCAAGGAAGGAGGGGAGTGGGGGGCGGGGAGGAAGGCTGGGGAGGTTGCGGGGGGAGGGGGGCCCCGCCTGGCAGGAAATTAAACATCAATCAATCAATCGCCGTGAGCTAGGCGACCCAACGGCGGCGGGGCTGCCGAGGAGGCAGAGGGACAGGCGAGGGGTGGGTGGGAGGCAGGGAGGAGGGAGGAGGAAGAGGAGAGTCGGCGGTCGGAGTGGGGTGGCGAGGACCTCGTGCACGGGGCAGCGAAGGACGGATGACAGAGGACCGAGCGCGGCGCGAGGTGGTGGCCGCGGCCAGCGGGTGGGTGCGTCTGGGCGCAGGCGGGTACCAGGGCCCGGGGTCTGGTCCTCCTCCTTGTGTTGGGTCCAGGGCGCGGCCGCCTCGCCCAGCCCGTAGGCGCACTCGTCCCCGCGCGGAGGCGGCGGCGACAAGGCAGGCGCTGGGTGCCGCGTCTGCCGGTGGAGGCGCAGACCGACGCGCAGCAGGCAGCGGCGGATGCCTCGGCTCCAGGCTCCGTTAACTGCGCAGAGTACTTTCGACTTTGAAGATAGGAGGGCGATCGCCTCCCCCACCCACCGCCTCCGCCCACCGCCTCCGCCCCTCGGAGCAACTTTTCCCGGTGCCTGCGAGCTCCCCCTCCGCGGGGAGCCGACCGTCCGGGCCCGCCGCGCTCCGAGCTGCCGCGCGCGCAGGGAAGGCCGCTTCTTGCTCAGAGCTGGCACGGCCGCGAGTCCGGAACAATGGCCCGGGTGTCCCAAATGGCAGCAGCAGGGCCACTGCCCGCTGGGCTGTGGGTGGCAGAGAGGGGCTTGCGTGGTGGGCGCAGGGTGGGGTGCATCCCTGGATGGCATCCCTGGAGCGCTCGCAGCGCCGGCGACATCGCGAGCGCCGCAGCCCGGGCTGCCTGGAGGCCGTGACGCTGTGGCAGCGAGAGCGGCGGAGCTGCCAATCCTCAGGGCTGCGGGACTGGGGCTACTGGGGACCCCGAGCTGCTGGAGCGCTGGGCTGCGGGCGCGAGCAGAACTGTGCCGTGAGGACTCGGCCTCCCCGATCCGGGGGAGGCCGTGCAGGAGCGTCCCCCAGCAGGTCCTGCGAAGGCGTAAAAGAGCCACAAACTTTTGCCGACTCCCGCGGCCGCCCGCAGCCTACTCCGGCCGCGGTGCTGATTTAAGGTGGCACGGGCACTAGCCGAACAGGCCGGCCTCTGGCCGCGCTTTTGTCCCAGAGATTCCACTTGGGCTCGGGGCCTCCTTAAGGAAAAGCACGTGGGCAGGGGCCGCAGCCCCCGCGAGATGCCTGAGGCGTCGGCGGACATTAGCCCCTGGGACCTTGGACAAGAAAATGTGGACTCGTCCCCGCTGGCCTTGAGGCCAGAGAAGGCCACTCAAATGGCTGTGCCTCCTGTCCCTCCAGCACACCTAGGCTCTCCCTCCTAATTCCCTGGACCCCGAGGGCTCTCCCACAGCTCGCCGCCTAAGCCACCGGTCCCCCTTAAGAAGCGTTGACTGTACGGCGGCGCCAGAGGGCCAAACTAAGTTCGGTTTCGGGAAACGCGTTCGGGTGCAATCCTGGAAATCCCGGCCGGTTCAGAGACCGCAGAAAGCCGCTTTCGCCGATTGTGCTCGGGACCAGGCCGTGGTTCACTCGCCGCATCTCTCCGGTGGGCGGCATGCGCACGGCCTGGGAGGCTTGAGAGCCTCTGGAAGAGAAAGGGTCCCCGAAACGAAACCTGCCCCCGGCCTAAATCGGCGCCCAGATCCGGGTGAACCCCGAACTCAGGCACCGCCCAACAAGTTTCCGAGGAGCGGGAGACGACCTGGGAGACGGTCGGAGCCTAGCCGAGAAAGGAAGCGAGCAGGATAGTAAAGCTTAGGGGAGCCACCCTGGGAGTTTTAGGCAGCGTTTTCCTTTCCCTGTTTTTCTTACCCAAGCCCTATCCTCCCCCCAACCCCGCACCCCACCCCCACCCCCAGTGAAATGGGTTGGAGAAAATGCACAATTCGAAGTTGGTGAGAGCAAAATGGCACAAGTAAATCGACCCGTGGTGGTAGCTAAAAGGTTTTTGGCTGCAAAGAAACAAACTGTAAGTCTGATCCACAAACTTAAAAATCTGTACTGTCACCTCTAAATGGGAAAGGGGTGTTGCAGAAACCAGCTACCACTGTCAAACTTAGCCCGTTTTTCAAATGAGGGAAAACGTATTCCTTATTAATATCTTAACAACGATAATAATGCTGTTTCCTTCCTTACCTTGGTGTTGAACTGTGGAATCCTCCTCCGGATCAATGTCCAGGAACTTAGAAGAATTGGTGATATTAGGACTTCAGTACTTCTGGAAAAAAATGCAAATGGTTTAGCCAGGATCTTTCCTGTCTGATTCGTCACTATTATTATATCTGATGATGCGAATGGTTGGAGCGATTCAATCCTAAGTCATTAATGAGCTATTTTATAAACACCACTGTCTGAAGATCTTCATTTACATTTTGCTAAGGATCACTTCGCTAACCTCACAGGCTTGTGTCAACAGCATGATTACAGGACTTCAGTTACACTCTTATAAACAACAAGGCTGGCCATATTGTTAATCGGTTAATATTTTATAAAGTGTAAATATTTTATTATGTTTTGAAGGGAACTATTGATTCTAAATTATTAAACCCCTGAGAAGGGTTATTTAAATAAAATATACAATTAGATACAATTAAATGTACATTGTGGCTAGTTTGCTTTCAGATTCGATACTCTTAAATTCATTGATTTTTGTTTTTATTGGAGTTTCCTCCTGTCCATTTTTGATAGTGAAAAAAATCTATCATTTTAGGCAAAAACTCTAAATTGTTTAAAATTGCATTAAACATAGAGGAAAATGTCAAATGCAATTAATTATTACCAGAAATGTATTTTGGATGTTTGTAGATTCGTATTTAGTAACACATTTTACAAATTTCTTTCGATTTAAAAAAGGAGAATTCTAGGAAGTTTTGGGATGTATGCCTGGTATGGGTTTTTTCCCCCTTGGGTTTTATCCCTAATAAAGGCTTTTTCTGTTTCAAATTACATATGCTTTTTACTGCACAATTTTTGTACTGACCTTATTTCAACTGAGGTAAGCAATTATTTCCAGCATGTTTAGTTTCGACAATAAGAGATATTTTAAACATTTATTTTTACTTTTCGCTAGGATTTTCTACTTTTTAAAACAGTAAATAAATACATTTGATAATGATTCAGAGGTTTTTGTTTGGTTTCGTTTTGTAGTCCTCAAATTCTTTATTTTCAAATATTTTTGAAACAAAATCACACTCAAGAAAGGAATTGTATTAATTGTGTTTGTCTTTTTTTAAATACTTTGATTCAAACCCCATTTTTGCACAATAGGAGGTAGTTTGTTTCAGTGCTCAAAACAAAGTTCACATTTGGGGGACATTTTTATCTCTCAGTTTGCTTCTCACTGACATTTTTGTCGTGAGACTCACACTTCTCACAGACTTTTCCCCCTTCTTTTACCACCCCCCAATTTTTATTATGTCATTTAGTAAAAGGTCGCCTATCTTTCATAAACACACTGAAATCTGTTATTTTAAAAATCAACGGATGGATCTTTCTTTATACTCTGGTCTTAAATGTGTATAGTTTTACTTATTCCCTTCTCTCCTTTTCTCTCTTGTCAGGCCTTTCTTGTCCTTTCTCTTATGGCCTGCACTTTTAGTGACAATATTCCTTGATTTCTCTTTGTGGACACCGAGTTTTTGTCCTGCGTGCTTTCGACCTTAGTCAACCATCCTTCCCTGGATGCCTGGGCCAGACGGCCTGGGCCGGACTGTCCGGGTGTAGGGTGCAGGGTGATGGGCACAGAACTTCGGCTCTCGGCCGGCCGGGCTCTCCTGGCCACTGAAGCATTCATTCCCCGGCTCCCTGGCCTTCAAGTTGGTCACTCAGGCAAAGAGACCCTCCTGGCAGTATGCTGCCTCTTAGCACGGAAAAGTTGTGCCGCGTTTTCCATCCACCCCGGAACACACAGAGAAAACTATGGGAACCGCCAGCATCAAAAGCCTTCGACGGCTTCTAGAAACCAAAACGGGCCTGTCTCTTCCCCTGGAGCTTGCCCTGCTAGGGATGGGAGGAGGGCGGGAGGGAATCATCTCTTTCAAATGAAGCCCACGCCAGCTCTGAAGCCAATTTCCACCGCGGACTGTCCGTGGAGAGTTGAGCGACATTTTCTCAGACAGTGTAACGGCTAGGGGCTTGGACTAGAAATCGGATGCACGGAGAGGACAAGGGCTAGGGGCCAAGATACCCTGAGGGGGACGAACCTTGAAGGACAGGTCGACCCGAGTGGGCTCCAGTCCTTCCCCAGACTGCTCCGGGGCGTCTGGGGACTGACTGAAGTGCACGGGCGGGGGACACTTACTTCGTTATCCGCACGCCTTCCTCGTTGGCATCAGAGCCGGACAAATCCCATCCCGCGCCAAGCAAAGATAAGTTACTCCTGGCTCCCCCAGCGGCTCAGGGGGCCTGGGCGGGGGCGGAGTGGTGAGGAAGCCGTCTGGACGCCAGAGGTAGGGACGGCGGAGGTCCTCCTCCCTTCCGAAAACGAAGAAGCCTCTGAGGCCTGGACAGAGAGATGCGCCCCAGGGAGACAACTGATTGGGGAAGGGTGGTGGGCAACTAGTCCGCATAAGTCGGTGAGCCGAACACCCAAGAGGCTGTAGGGTCGGGGGTCCAGCGGGACTCACAGTGCAGAGGCTCAGTGGGCGAAAAGGGAGGCGCAAAGTTGGCCCAGGAGCTGCCTCAGGAGAGGACAGGGAGCTTTCTGCACTGGGGTCCCAGGTGCAGGAGATGGGCTTCTGGAGTGGGCACTGCCTGCCCAGGGAGTAGGACAGCGAGGAGACAGGTTTCAGAGCTGGGAGAATGGTTGGTTGGAAGATCCGGATGTCCTTTCCTGGGCCGCGGGTGGAGAGCACGGGAAGGCGGAGGCCTTCGGGCTCCAGCATTACCCCAGCTACACCTGGCAACGCCCCCCCACACACACACCGGGGCTCCCGGGTCTTTTCATTCTTTTTCATGAGCCAAGAGGTGAATCTCCTGCAGCAGTGCTGCAAGGCAATGACTGCCCTGCTAACCTACTTTATTTATAGAAATCGACTGTACACGACCGGGGTGACAAGGCAAAGGGGCAAAAAAAGGAAACACTGAAGGAGTCACCGCTGCCTCTCCGCCCCTCACCTCAGGGCGGGGGTTGCAGCCACGAGTCGCGCTCGCGACCCACTGCGTTTTCCTGCGGGAAACACGGAATGAGGCAGAGGAACTTGGGGCCCAGGGTGGCAGCGAAGACCCTCGGGCTCGACTTGTCGTCAAAGTCCTGCCACCCTGGAGCCTGGGTCACTTCCCGGGTCCCAGCCCCAGCCCAGGCGTCCTCTTCCTACAGCGCCACCGCGTGGGCTGCGGACGAAACCTTCCGCGCGGGCTCTGCCCGTCGCGTCCTGAAGCCAGCCCTTTTCGCTTCGCCTCTGGTCCACGGGTTAAGGATGTAGCGGGAAATGGGCAGGTGCCCAGCCCCGGGCACCACCGGACCACTCAAAACAAGAGTGTTTTGGAGCATACAAAATGCCAGCGCCAGCAGTTTGCCCCAACCCCTTGTAATGAAAAGGACACCTGGATTGTCCAAGCCAGGACACCCCATCCGCACTCCGAACTGCAGACAGACTGGCCTGCGTCGCGAAATCTGCGTGCGCCCACCGCTATCAGCGGCTGGCAAACTTAGGCTGCTGGAGGCGAGGCGGCCCAAGCCGGAGTTGTTTCCGGAACGCTTGGCGGCTCTGGGCCCGCGCAGGTCTGGAACCATGCCGGAGAGGGCGAGAAAGCCTACTGCAGGACCCAGGTCCCAAACGCTTACTGGGACCGAGGACGAGAGGGTAGTTTATCCCGTGGTCTAACCTCGTACAGAGTGGCGGGGAACTTAGAGGGCTTCCCAAGCTGGCGCCTGACCCGTTCTCTCGGTCTCACGGAAGTCCCTTGGACACCCACCGTCTCAGTCCGTCAAGGCCTGAACTCCCGGCTAAAACCCAGGTGGCTGAGACCGCGGTGTCCTTGGGGCTCAGTTCTTCCCCACCCCGTGGTGCCTTCCCTCCAGGCCTATCACAGCCCCTGTCCCAGCGCCACGCCAGGGTTTTGGGAGCCCCCATGCCGGGCTTAGAGGACTTCTCTGGGTAGGCTGGGGCTTATTTCAAATAAATTCAACTGCTCATCAACCACCCGCGCGCGCGTACACACACACACACACACAGGAGCGCGCGCGCGCACACACACACACACACACACACCGTCGGACTGTCAACTATTAAAAGGGACAACGACTGAGAAAGTAAATTCACCTGGCGGCCACCCAACTGCAAAGCTCCCAGTCCCGCACAAAACGGAAGCGAGTCCTGTACACTCGAGCTGTCCCATGCCTGGCTCACGGCCCCAACATGCGCGCTCCCTGCCCAGTCGCAGGGACAGGTCACCAATGGCACCCAAAGTGGAGCAACCTGACCGTCTGGCAGAACTCCGGCGCTCAGCGGCGGCTTGGCCCGGTCGCTTGCGCCGTCATTATTGCCTGTGACTTCTTCATTTCTGATACCCAGTGTCCTACCCTAGGCCACGCAGAGCTTTCGCCAAACGTGCCAGGCCCGACACCCCTGCCAAATGGCTCACCTCAGCTCGCTGCACCCACCTTCGACCCCAGTGCCCGGTACCGAGCGAGGAGCAGCGGGTCGGGGCACGGACGCCGGCTGCTCACCTCCACCAGCGGACAGAAGGTGCCTGCGGCGTCGCTAGTCCAGCCCTGGGGCTGATTTAAATAACTAATAAGCACAGATAAATTTTACAAGGGGAACTTTTCCTTTTAGTATCAATAAAGCCCAGTAATTGGGTTTGTTGGTTACCTAAGCTCGAGTTTCTCAGTCTCTCTCTCTCTCCCTCCCCCCCATTGAGAGGCAGTGTTTTAAAAAACCGGCAATTGCGTGTGAGTTTGGGGTGTGCAAGTGTGAGCGTGAATGAGTGAAAGCTGTTTGTTTCAAAAGTCCTTAGTTTCAAAAACAATCATCATTGTCTCTCTGTGAGTTGGGGTCAGAATTTCTGAAAGGTGAAGTGTTGTTTTTTCCGAAAAGAAAAATGTTGACAATTCAAGTCACTATACAAGTATAATATAAGGAAGGGAGGAGTTTCTAAAGATTGTCCTTCGTTGGATGAAATAGAAAGACAACTGCAGTGTTTCCCTAATAGTTTGCATTTTAATTAAATTTCACAACATTCTTACTTCAACTCATGGATGATAGCGATATCTATTTTTTTTCAGTAAAGACTTCTATACTATATAATACATTCTATTTTTTTTCGATTTTTTAATCTTTTTGAAAGCAGTTCTTAATAGTAAGGAATTTTTCCACCCGGGAACTGTGGCTCACTTTAAAAATATAAAAGACCTTTCATGAACAATAACTGCAAATAACCCATTCGTTAGTGTCTACGGAGTTCCTGGCGCCTATACAAAATCTGTGAAATCTAAAGGCAATCTAAGAATGTTTCTCCCTAACCATAGCAATATAAATTTTTCATTTTTGTTGTTGGAAGTTAAAAACACACTTAAAAGGACTTTTTAGAAAATTGTTGCGCTAAAATTTACTGGAAATCAAATTCCTTATCAAATACAACTTAACTAGTGTCTGTAAATGTCAACCTAACGAAATGAAGAGTATTTCTGAATCAGATTATTGTTGGGATCAGATACTAAATAGTCAATGAAAAGAAATGGGAATTCAAGTCTGCAAACCAAGATGGAGGGGGAGGGGAAGCCGGCTTTTGAAGGCTACCCAGAACACACCCAAACCTGTGCACTCATATCTCCCATGTTTATATATATGGTGAATTTTCCTTGCCGCTTTTAGCTAGGAAATTGATGGGCTTCTCTTAGTTCATCTGGTTTTAAGCTGTGAGAACCAAAGTCTGTGGAGGGCTGTCTCTGTCAGGTAACTTCCGGAGACCTAGTGTTACTCAGGAAGACCCTGTCCATTGCA